CGAAGAAGCTTTCCGACTATGTGGGGAGAAATGAGAAGACCAAAATCATCGTCAAGATCCAGCAGGTGGGTGAGCACTCCTGCTGCAAGAGAGTTTGTCCACCTTGGGTTTGATGAAGTTCGCAGAAAACCCGGACGATTTTAAAACCTGTCTACTTTTAGCCCTTATTGGCCCCAATTTAAAGTAGAAATTTCCTTTTTGTATCATATCAACCAAAAAAGCAGGTCCACAGGCAAAAAACGTTCCTAGCGATGAAAACTTCAGCCAGGACGGATTATAGGGCGCTTCCAGCTGCCGGCGTTCTGTGCTGAGGAGAGTTGGGGGAGCGGGAGCCACCCGCCTGTGTAATTGTGGGAACAAGGCCTGTAGACTTGTGTCTGTCTCCCAAGGTGCACCTGAGGTCACTTGAGAGGTGGCACCCCGTACAGGTCCTGGGCCCCGGCAGTGCTTCCCCTGACCCCGCTGTGGCCCATCAGCTTGCTGTCTCCTGTGTCGGCAGAGACGGTTATAAAACAAGCGCCTGTTCCTTCTCGTGTCCCCTGCAAGGATCCCTCAGTCCCCGGTTTACTCTGCTTTTGCATTTTCAGAGGGGGCAGGGGGCACCAGCCCGGGAACCGATCATTAGCAGCGAGGAGCACAAGCAGCTGATGCTGTTCTACCATAGAAGACAGGAGGAGCTCAAGGTAACCGCTGGGTGACTGGGGGGCGGCAGAGCTGGGGCGGGGGATGCACGTTAGAGCCAGGGGGACGGACGGACGGCAGGTCTGGGGGGAGCGCAGTAAAGCCAGGGCCACAGCCTGTATCCCAGGCTCACCACGGGCCGGGTCCTTCAAGGACCACACAATATTAGGGATGGGCTTCCCAGGCTCTCCAAGGCTGTTGCCAGCTTTAGACGCTGGAGGCTCCTGCTGGTGTTGGGGGTGTGGCAGGACCTGACTGTTTCCTCGGTCTACATGAACCACTGTCCTGAAATGCTGTTCTGAGAAAAGCATGCCTGTTTCCAGAAACTGGAAGAAAATGACGATGACTCCTGCTTAAACTCCCCATGGGCCGATAACACCGCGTTGAAAAGGCATTTTCATGGGGTAAAGGACATAAAGTGGCGGCCCAGATGAGGCCTGCCACTTAATGAAGCCATCAGAGCCACTAGCCAGCCTTCCCTGAGCAAAATAATTATAATACTATGAAGGACATGGAGGTTTCTATTTTCCTGGTTTCTTTTCGTTTGAATTTTTGAAATAAGTCATTGTTTTAGAACTTAATAAATACATACTCAAAAGAAAATGTGCAAATTATTCTAGGACAACTGTGTGGCGTCTAGTGTTTTCTCTGAAGGTGTACCAGAGGTTTATAGAATTACTTGCAGCTGAGTCCTGCTCAGTTCTCTTGTCGTGTGTTTTCCTGTGTTGGAGAGGACCTGGGTTTCCATAGCACGGTGAATTCCGCGGTGGCCACTAGAGGCCGCCAGCTGCAGGCTTGTCTTTGAGATCCGTGGGGATGGAGTCTCTTTAAGGCACTAGGGCAGGGACTTTGAACTTGTGGGTCCTGGCCCTCACAGGGGTCACGTGCCAGATGCCCTGCATGTCAGATGCTTACATTACTGTTCATAACAGTAGCAAAAATGCAGGTATGAAGTAGCAATGAAATAATTTTATGGTTGGGGTTACCTCAGCATGAAGAAGTGTATTAAGGGGTCACAGCCCTAGGAAAGTTGAGAGCCGCTTGTCTGGGGAACCCACTTACAGATGTGACTGTGCCAGTGCCCAAGGTTAAGCTTGACTCATGGTTGGTGCCCGTGCTCCACCCCCCACCCCCCACCCCCGTCTTTTCTGCCAGTAGGAGAGGCCACCTGGAATGCAGGGGGGTGGCCGGCTAGGCTAACCTACATCTTGATGCTGTAGTTAACCTTTGAGGTCTCCTTCACCAAAGCGGGCAGGGGAAGAGTGCTTCTCCTCCCACAGCCAGGCCAGCTCGTGGCTCTGCGAGCCGCTCTCCCTGGGCTGCCGTTCACCCCCTCGGCACTGACGGTACCAGGGTTGGCGCAGTGACCACCTGCAGAACATACAGTTCACTGGTCCTTTGTTAAACTCACCTCCCTAAGCCACTGACCCCACCCCCAACCGTGGCCCTACCCACAGACGAAGTCCACCCCAGACTTCTGTAGCTGGACGAGTCCCAGAGACACACTCACCCTTGGCCTTGGCCTCCAGGATGCTGGCCCAGTTAAGAGGAAACTCTCCGTGCTCCCTGGGAGGGAGAGGAAACATACTACTGTCCCCTGCCCTGGCCTTCCTGTTCCCTGCCCCTCCCACCTGAGTGCCCAAGCTTCCTACCACATCTTCAGAAGGAGCTGTGAGAGCCAATGGAGCCAGCATCCCTCATCTGCGGAGAGAACTGACCACTTGTTATCCTGCCTGGCTGCATCACCAGAACACAGCGGCTCACACAGCATCACCAGAACACAGCGGCTCACACAGCATCATCTGAACGCAGCGGCTCACACAGCATCATCTGCCAGACGTCCCCGGCCCCAGCTGGGAGACCTGGGCTTCTGGGAGGAGCCCTGAACTGAGCCCCAAACCTGATGTTTCTCCCAGAGGCACTGGCCTCCTGCCCTCCTCACCTGCCATCACCAAGCTACTCAGAGCTGCCCCTGATGTGCTGCTTCCTAAAGCCAGATGTGGCTGCCCGTGCCCTATGCTTCTGCTGGCTTGACTGATCAAATTCTGTAGAAAGGAAAACTGTTTGTTTCCCCCTTACTTTGATTATAATTTCAAGTTTCTTCCTAAAATGTTTTGGCCTTGGATGACATTAGTCCTTAGAGCCTCCATTTTATCTGGCGTAGAAGATTCATGCTCAGAATTACATGGAGAGTGAGTCAAGGCGTGTGGCCGCAGCAGAACTCTCTAGGAACCCACGTCAGTGCCTCCAGATGTGGGTGCTGTCCCTGGTCCAGACAGCGACACACAAACAGGGGAACTCACCCCCCTGAGCCCCACTTCTCGCTCTGAGGGAATAGCCAGCTGATGCAGGGTCCCTGGCATCCCTCCCCGGGGGTAGCATCCCACCCCCCCTCCCCCGGGGGTACTGGGCACAGTGCGCTCTCATCCTGTCTGCTTCACACTCCGCTGAGAGCCAGATGCTCAGGGGTGCAGCCCACTGAAGTCCCCAGAGGTGTGTGGCCCCGCCATAGCCACCCACAGAGGGGCTCACTGGCAGTCACCATACTATTAGGAAGTGTGACATTGCTGGAGTAGGCGTGGCCTTGTTGGAGGAAGTGTGTCACTGGGGACCAGCTTTGAGGTTTCCTACGCTCAGGATACTGTACAATGTCTCAGTCAACTTCCTGTTGCCTGCGAGATGTAGGATTCTCAGTTACTACTCCAGCACCACATCTGCCGGCAGCTTCCTGCCACGATCGTAATGGACTGAACCTCTGAAACAGTAAGAGAGCCACCGCAATTAAATGTTTTCTTTATAAGGGTTGCCATAGCGTCTCCTCACAGCAATTGAAACCCTAAGACAGCTAGCACGGCCAGGCGTTGGTGGTGCACGCCTTTAATCCCAGCACTCAGGAGGCAGAGGCAGGCGGATCTCTGTGAGTTCCAGGTCAGGCTGGACCCACAGCCTCCAAAACAATACAGAGAAACCCTGTCTCGTAAAACCAAAAAAAAAAAAAAAAAAAAAAAAAGACAGCTAGCACCTATATAGTCTGGGTTCTGTCACAAGGTCACCTTGTCCCTTGGCCACTGTGCTACAGGAAATGTGCCATCCAGCTTGTAGTTAAGGCCACATGCTTAGGGCGTATGACTTGAGTCTCAGCCCGTGACCCCTCATCCAGAGCCTAAGCAGCCGCCCTTCCAGAGACAGTGAGGTGAGATTCTAGCACCCTTCCTTGTGGCAGAGGGAGGGCTCAGGGAGATTGATTCCCGACACTTATGTCTAGTAGCTCACAATCACCGGGACTCCAATTCCAGGGATGTCTGGTACCTCTGGCCTCCATGGGCACCTGCACATGTATGTTACACATGTGCACATTCATGCACAAGTGCATGGACACATGCATGCATGCACACACACGCTTTTAGATTTTCAAGGCATTTGAAATGGTTGCTTCCTCTTTTCTAGTTCCTAATGCCTAGGATACATACGTAATGGCAGAAGCTCCAGCTGTGGTCTTGAGCTGACCTGGGCGAACACAAACCCAGCCTACCTGGAATAGCAAGCAGCCCACCCCTGACATGCGCTATGCCCACCCCTGACAGACATGTGCTATGCCCACCCCTGACAGACATTCGCTATGCCCACCCCTGACAAGCCTAGCAAGGAGCAAAGCCAGGTTGGATAGAATTGTGCAGGATTCCAGAAAACGAAGATGGGCCGTTCCTGCCACGTTGTTCTCAAGCACTGAAAGACTAGAGAGGGACACTTGGGAAGAGTGCAGCTCTTGGGAAACGCCCTCTCCACAGCGCCATGTTGTCAGGCTGACCACTGGGAGGGCTCACCACTCCAGGATCAGTTTCTCACCTGGCAGTTCTGTCGCGATGGCATTACTCTAAGCACAGCCGAACCATCGACACCAAGAGATGTGGTAAAATACTCCGACATAAGCAACTCAACGGAGAAAGAGCAATCGATGCATCCCGGTTTACACAGCCCAGGATCTCCTGCCTGGGGAATGGCGCCACCCTCGGTGGGTGTGTCTCCCCACCTTAATTAGCACAGTCAAGCCCTGTACCCAGGAACAATCTCAGAGGCCCGCCTTTCAGACGACTGTAGGTTTTACTGACAACACCAACCACCACAGACTAGCACTGTAGCAGAGGTAGAGCACGTGGCTAGCATGTATGGCAGCCCAAAGCCGGAGGGGGGGACACGGACGGGGGAACATGGGGACGGAGGATGGGGACGGAGGACATATGAGTGGTACTCAAAATAAAGAACCTTTAAAACAGCAACAATAAGAAACAGCTCACATTTAAAAATGACCCAAGGAGTTATTCGGGTGGAAACAGTTTTATTGGATGAATAGCTGAGTAGCGTTTACTATCTAGACCTCACCCCCATCGCTCCAGGACCTTGACGAAAAGTCAACGAGAGGAAGAAAGCCCTGTTCACGAAGCTCTGGCAAAATCCCCTCTGGGAGGAACAGATGGCGCTGTCTCCGTGACAACGAGAAGGGCCAGAATTTGAAGGTGCTGACGGATCCCTCTCACGCCACAGCAAGACATCCAGACACCACCTGAGGCTGGGATTATGGGGAGCTGACAAATGACAGCCACGCTTGGAAAGGGCCATGTATAGCACACCCTGTACCGACCAGAAGATGTCGGCGGGAATCCGCGGTTCGCTTCGGGAAAGCCTCGGTGTGATAAGGTGGGAGCAGATGGGCAGCTTTCCAGTGCCCAAGGCAGCCATCTTGGGAGGGTCTAGCGGGCCAGGAGGCCCTACAGCCCACATGCACACTCCCCTTGATCTCTCTGGAGTCACATTCCTAGGACACCAAACATGTCACCGTAGCATATCATCTTCAGCCGTCCAAGCACAGAAAAGGGCATTATGCTCGCTGACAAGGCGTATGTCACATCTCACACTTGACTTTCAAGACCTTGAATGAATTTTGCTGAAATAAATGTTCACCTCTGGGTTTAGTCCAAGTGTGTGAGGTTTTGGTCCCCACAGTGGTTTTTCTTTTCCTTTCTTTCTTTTAAAAGAATATTAAGAGTGGCTGAAAGGAGGGATTTAGAATGAATGGCGTTATTCACCATGTCTTATAAAATGGAAGGGGTAAATGCTATAGCATTTCTTAGGGAAATGGATTTAAGGAAAATGTGATTTGGAGCCCGGGGCCATTTATTGCGATGTGACATCAACGTCCTTGTGGGTCTCCCTGTTCAAGCTTGATCGGGCAGGGGTTGGCAAGGGTCAGGGTGACCAGACACCAGGGACTTCCCAAGACTGGTCCTCAGCCTCAGCACTTCAGAGCTGGGGTTGTAGAAAAGCCCCCCACCCCAGCGACCTTTGAAGCCCAGTCCCCTAGTGGGGCCGTGATAGCCTGGGAAAGTGCTCCCCAGGTCCCACCGAAACCTGCCAGGTCCGGGACCACATTCCCTAGTAATTGTCTTCACATGGAGTCTACACTGTGCCCTGGATCAAGTTCAAAATGCAGGAGTGTACAAGGGCGTGAGTGTTGGGGAAGTCCTGTGTATATGTTAATAAAGCACTGCTGGCCAATAGGGAATCAAGATAGGTGGGACTAGGAGTCTAGGAGGACACTGGGAAGGAGAAACACGGGAAGTCGAGATGTAACTGCCATGGGGTAGGAAGCCCGGAAATTTCTCCGGTAAGAGAAATACTTAGATTAACAATTATGGGATAAATACTTAAGTCAGAGCTAGCCAGTAAGAAACAAGCAAGCCCAACAGCTTCATAATTAATATAGCCTCCTGTGTGTTTATTTGGGACTGATGCGGCTCTGGAAACAGGCTGGCGGGAAGGCTTCCCTTTACATGTGAGAGATCCCACCCCAATTCCAAACTCACTTTAGGAGTGAGACAGGAGCAGTTAGCACCAGGACTGAGCCGTGCGGCCCAAGGAGACTTTGGCAGCTCTACATGTCCTTGGCCACTCAGCCGATGGAGCGTACAACCATGCATGCAGATTTCTCCCTGTTCCTTGGCTGTGGAGGTGCCTGACCCCTGCTATGGCAGACCTAGAATTGTGAGCTAAGGAGCCCCTTTATCTTCTAAGCTGTTCTTATCACAGCATCAGAAATGAAACCAAGGCATCTTCCAGGGTCACATTCTGGGCAGACCGGGAGGTGCCCATCCCCCCACCGCCGAGTCCTTACTGCCCTCTAAGGGCTTGGGCAGAGGGCTGTCTGGCACCCCTGAGCCAAGGTGTCTGCGAGCATGCCTGCTCTGCTTGTCTGGCTAGCAGGTGGGTAAACAGCGGCTCTACTCAGCAGTCAGTCCATGTGCCTGGAGTTGCTGCTCTGCTCCCCCCCCCGGTCCTCCCGTGCCACCAACGGACCAACGGCCTCACTCTCCAGCGACAGCTCATCTCCCATGTGCACGCTCACCACTGTCTCTCCCTTGTCACCTTCAGGGCTGACTTACAAGCTACAGCTCATTTACATGCAGCTCCCACCCAAGCTCCCAGGACCCTGCTGACACATGTCAACTCCCGCCAGGCGGACTGTGTGCAGAATGATGCCTGCCTTGTCCCTGTGGAGCACGGAGCACCTGCCAAAGACAGCCTTGCTTACTTCGCTGAACCTTCATTCCCGGCCCACAGGAAAGTCACAGGAACTCACCTCTTTCCTGTAACTTCAGGGGCCCAGAGGCAGCTGTGCGGTTCACAGTCCCCAGAGGAGCCACCTGGGACAGAGGCAGGGAGGGGGTGGCAGGTGGCCGGGAGTGGAGGGCCTGTAAGATGCTGCTCAGGGTCAAACACCCCTCTGCAGAGTAAGCCCACATAAGGGGCAGGTGGCGCTGGGCTCCTGGAAGCCCAGGTGAGCGGCAGGCAGGGCTCCAGCTGCTGTTCAGGGGCAACCCAAGGCTAATGCTGAAGATGTGGGACCCACGCCCCAAAGTATCTCTCAGCATCTTCCTGTATGATGTCTAACCATGTTACCCAGTTGGTTCCAAACTTGTGGTGGACCCATGTGATGTCTGCCCCTGCTTCAGCTCCCGAGCAGCTGGGACCACAAGCGTGTGCTCTGGAGTCTTGGAGGCTCTGGTACGAGCTGTGGAGTCCATCTGAGCAGGCATCCGGAACCAGGGTTGGAAAGCCCCGGGAAGGGGCTGCACGTGGCCTCCACCAAGGGCTAGGTGGGGCTTGGCCAGGGGAAGTCTGAGAACAGAAAGTCAAACCCACAGAGATGGCTGAGCTTGACGCTTCCAGAGCCCGTTCCCTCCTCGGCATGTCCCAGAAGCCCGTGTGCTGTCTTTTTGCTGCATCCTCTTCCGGCGTGACTCCATAAGCTAGACGGCCCTGGTGTCTGCTCGCACAGCTGGGGAGGCGGGCATGGAGGGGGGCAAAAGACAGGAGCTCAGAGGCCAGGAGAACAAACCAGGAGCAGCTGTAGCCACAGGAACCCAGCGGCCAAGAGAACAAACCAATCAGGAGCAGCTGTAGCCACAGGAACCCAGAGGCCAGGAGAACGAACCAGGAGCAGCCGTGTCTGAGGAGCTCATCTTGGGTCCCGCCTACCCTTCTCCCCAGCCAGCCTCGGCCATTGTCCAGCCCTAGCCGTGCTCTTCCAAAGTGGCTTCCACAGCCCTACCATAGGCTCAGTCTCAGACTTCTTGAGCTCCTGAGAGCTGAGGGTACGCTGGCTGTCTGACTCGCAGATTTCCAAAGTGTGAAACGGAGGAGTCAGGTGCTGGGACTGGGGGCCAGCTCTCAAATCACAGAGGGGTCCCACAGTCCCAGGGTAGCCTGACGTCTCAGCCGCACCTCCTGACGGAAATGCAGGCACACCAGCAACCCTCGCTCTCCTCGCCTCCTTCTCCCGTGTGTTCTCATTGATTCTGCTCTGAAGTGATTGGTCAACGCTGCTCCCATGTGAAAGTTTAAAGGCAGTGCGGAGGGCAGGCTGCCTGCCATCCTAACCGTGTTCAGCCCGACGCCCCGGTTCTGAGAACAGAACTTCACAGCACTGCCAACTCCGACCTCCAAGGAGGACCACGACTTTCCTTCTCTACACAAGCGGATCCAGAACGGAGCCACTTGGGGTGGGCTATTGCCCGTGGTGTTGCTGCGGTGGGTAAGTGACAGACAGACCAGGCAATTCTGAATAAGCGATGCTGAGATGGGGTGCTGGGGAGGTTGGGGTGAGGGCGAGATGGAGACCGGGTGATGCTGGGTCATCAGAATGGAGTAGATGGAGACAGGTGATGCTGAGTCATCAGAATGGAGTAGATGGAGACAGGTGATGCTGAGTCATCAGAATGGAGTAGATGGAGACAGGTGATGCTGAGTCATCAGAATGGAGTAGATGGAGACAGGTGATGCTGAGTCATCAGAATGGAGTAGATGGAGACAGGTGATGCTGAGGTCATCAGAATGGAGTAGATGGAGACAGGTGATGTTGAGGTCATCAGAATGGAGTAGATGGAGACAGGTGATGTTGAGGTCATCAGAATGGAGTAGATGGAGACAGGTGATGCTGGGTCATCAGAATGGAGTAGATGGAGACAGGTGATGCTGGGTCATCAGAATGGAGTAGATGGAGACAGGTGATGCTGAGTCATCAGAATGGAGTAGATGGAGACAGGTGATGTTGAGTCATCAGAATGGAGTAGATGGAGACAGGTGATGCTGAGTCATCAGAATGGAGTAGATGGAGACAGGTGATGCTGGGTCATCAGAATGGAGTAGATGGAGACAGGTGATGTTGAGGTCATCAGAATGGAGTAGATGGAGACAGGTGATGCTGGGTCATCAGAATGGAGTAGATGGAGACAGGTGATGCTGGGTCATCAGAATGGAGTAGATGGAGACAGGTGATGTTGAGGTCATCAGAATGGAGTAGATGGAGACAGGTGATGTTGAGGTCATCAGAATGGAGTAGATGGAGACTGAGTGATGCTGAGTCATCAGAATGGAGTAGATGGAGACCGGGTGATGCTGAGGTGTTCTGGTAACACAGAGACCAGGTGGAATGGTCTTTTTTTTTTTTCTAGCTTCTTTCCCTCCAACCAGCAACTGAAGTCAGACTCCCTCTGTGTTACTGTCCCTACAGCACCCTGCCTGCGGTGCCCCCTCTGTCTAGGTCCTCAGCACATTGCCTGACAGGAACAGAACTTGGTGATCAGCAGAATGAACAGCGACTAACAAGGAGATACACTGACGTGGACAAGGGATGAAGGGGAGAGGAAGCGGCAGCCTGCTCTAGGTCTGAAGTGTGGAGGGAGGAGTTGGGAAAGAACCATTAACCCAAGAGTTCATCGGTAGGGTTAGTGCTCACCAGAGTTAGCACATGAAGCCCTGTTGCTGTAACGATAAACGGCACACTTGTCGAGGGTGTAGGTAACTGTTTATTGTAGAAATTACTCACAAGAGAAACCGGGCATGATGGGTCAGGTCTTTCTGCTACCAAACCGGAAGCCGAAAAAGAGCAATCTCAGTTCTGCTGCAGTCTTTTATCCCCACCTCCGTACACGCCTCTAGCCACGCCCAAATGTGGGCCTGGCTATCGTCGTAGTTCAACACCTACATCCTTATGTGTCTCTAGTCACGCCCAAAGCGGGTGTGGTTAGCAGCGCGGTAAACTGCCCTTTTATTACTACATCTGTATGTGCCTCTAGTGAGCCATGTGGCTAATGGCAGAGTCCTAGATCTCTTCCTACAATGCCCAAGTACTAGGCATAAAAAAAAAAAAAATTAAAAGTTGATGGAAAACAGGGCCATGGGGATGCATGGGTTTCAAAAGTACTTGGTAAGCAAAGAATTGGCTGTGATCGGGGCTGGAATGTTAACACAGCAGAACACTTGCTAAACGTGTAAAAGGCTCTGTGTTCAAGCCCCGAGTCCCACTCAAGAAAATCAGGCGGACATGGCGGCTCACACCTTTGATCCAGGTGGCAGAGGCAAGCAGGTCTCTATGACGCAAGGCCAGTCAGACCTACGCAGTGAGCGCCTGTCTGAAAAAAAAAAAAAGGACTAGAGAGATGGGTAAGTGGTAAAGAGCACTGGCTGCTCTTCCACAGCTCCTGTGTTTGGGCCCTCACACCCACGTGGTGGCTCACAGCCACTCGTAGCTCCAGATCCGGGACACTCAACACCCCCTTCTGACCTCCACAGGCACAGGTACATAGACATACATGTGAAAGACCCCAGGCGGGGGACTTTCACGGGGAGGGGGACACGAACCCAAGGAACACCGAGACCACGACCTTGGATGCAAACAGCAAGAGGCTTTATTGATAATACACGGGTACCCGGGGCATCTCAGTCTCGGGAACTGAGAGCCCCGAGCTGGGGACTCAGGGGTTCTTTTATAGCAAAAAGCGCAGTACAGAAGCGAGAAGCCTAGTTACGGGACCCTGATTGGGTAATTTAAATGAGGCTGGGGCTCAGAACGAGGGCAATTAAGGTTTCTCCCAGAACTCAATTCTCGGCCTTGGCCCTATCTGAAGAACAAAGGGTTTCTGTGCCTGCCCAATCTTTCTGGGCTGGCTATGCAGACCATAGACACCTGTGCCCCTATCTGGACAGAGATAGTAGTGACTATTCAGCTGCGAAGACCTTGAGCTGAGCTCCCTCCTGATAAAAAATGGCTGAGCTGTGGGGGAAAGGAGTTTTCCATAAGCCTCAGCTGCTTGCGCTGGGCCGGGGTCTTTCATTCCCCCATTGCTCTTGTAACTGAATGAAATCTTTCATTCAGAGGTTTCTGCCATCTCGAAATCCCTTTGCTTTAGCTGCTGGTATTGCTGAGTCAAGACCAGTGATTGTACAACCGATAGCCTTTTTTTTTTTTTTTTATCTTGGCCAGGTTGTCTCTTACCACTCCGTTATGGTCTGCGTAAAAGCAGCATTCTTCTTTAAGGGCCGCACAAATTCCCCCCCTGCTGTAAAAATAAGAGGTCTAGTCCCCTTCTATTTTGGAGGGCTACTTCTGCCAGGGCAGCGACAGATTCCTCTAAAGACCGAACATCTGCACACATTACTTGTTGTAGGAGTTGGAACTGTTTAGTTTCCTGCAGTGCGACAGTACCGGTTCCTATTCCTGCCGCTATGCCTCCCATGGTTAATCCCCCTAGTAGGATGGCAGTGGTGATGGAGATAGGTTCCCTCTTACTGCGGCCAGTTCTTTATCAGGTCAGTCATAATCAGAGGGGTGGTAAATTACCTTAGGCCATAATTCGATCAGAACACAATAGTCAGTGGTGGTATTAAGTACCGTGGTGGAGACACAAGGGGTTAATCCAGTGTTGCATGCCCAATATGTCCCATTGGGGGCTATCAAGTAGTGGCCACTTTGGGGCAAAGGCTCAGTGGCATTGCATAGTCCTTGATGCGTGGCGGGGACTTTACCTATATATAGTCCCTTTCCAGACACTTCTGAGATGGTTAATTTATGTTGCATGGCTGTCCCACAAAGAGCCTCGGCTGTGGCCTGATTTGTATATTCGCCCATAACCGCTAAGCCTTCATAATAGGGAGGTTGCGGAGTCAGACAAAGCCAGCATTTCTTAGCCTTATCTGGGCGAGTTAAATTCAGAGTGGCATATGTCCCTTTAATTAGGGCTAATATTCTATCTCCCGTGCCTTCAAGGGGGGGACCCGAGGAGGGGGGTTTGGGAGTGCTTTCTGTAGGCGCGGGAGCGGCTGTGGTTTTAGGCAGGGTCATGGGCCTGGTATCAGCCTTGGGCAGAGTAGGCTAGGCTGCTTTTGATCAGCAAGGACCTGATTAGGGCCTATTGCCTGTGAATTGACAGGAGCCACCTTACATCTGATTGTAAAGATTACCCCCTTGTCTGGCCCGTACAGATACCAACGCAAACCCCAAGTATACCCAGTCTGCCAGTCTGGGGCTTGCTTTCCCTGCGCAGTGAAGGAAATGGCAAGAGGCCTACCTATCATTCCAGATTGTCCTTTGTCCCAGCCTCTGCGTACCTGTATTTTATCCCAGGATGAGGATGGCCTCCAATATTCGTCCCCTGTAGTCTCGCACCCCCAAGCTGCACAGAAAAAGTAGTCATATCCCCCACATTTCTGGGCCTGTTGCCAGGCATGTCCATCTCGGGGGCAGACATAGAAGTCCAGTGAATTTAGCTGCTCTCTGGCTCTGCGACTAACACACCCGGGGGTGGTTTCTCTGGAGTCCACGAATATGAATGTACGTCGACTTCTGTACAGGTGGGAACCACTGGTGCATGCCTTTGGGTGGCAATGGGGAATGTCCCAAGTGTTCAACCCTGCTACCAAATCACAAAATTCAGGCCATAGAGTAGGCCACCATGTCCCAAGTGCATGTGGTTCCGTGACAGCATAAATGACCTCCCCCATCTGGGAGAGAACCTCCCAGGTTAATTTATAAACGGTATGGGGACTGGAGGCCACACCAGTGTCTGATTTTATGAGGAGGGCTATTAGCAGGAGGGAGAGGAGCGGGTAAGTTTTATTTTTAGAGGATTTTGAGTGCGCTGAGCCTTTCATCCTGGGTCCAGATCCTCAGGGAAGGCAGCTTTTACGTGCCAGGCATGTATCCAAGCAGCAATCCCGTCCACCTTGAGAGCAGTAGGGGTGGTTAACAGGACCGTATATGGTCCCTTCCAGCGGGGTTCAAGGTTCTTAGCCTGGTGGCGCCGGACCCAAACGCTGTTCTCGGTAGGCTTGGGCCAGAGGCTTCCAGACTTCCTGCTGGACCAGCTGGAGTGCCTGCAGGTGAGCTTGAAGAGAGGAGGAATTGGCATAGTCAGAAATATCTTGGTCAAAGAACTGAACAAAGGGAATGGTGGTTCCATGTAAAATCTCAAAAGGGGTGAAGCCATGGGGGCTCGGTGTATTCCGGGCACGATAGAGGGCAAGGGGGAGCAAGAGGACCCAGTCTTTAGTGCCAGCTACAAGCGATAATTTAGTTATAGTCTCCTTAATGGTTCTATTTATTTGTTCTACCTGTCCTGAGCTTTGGGGTCAGTAAGCACAATGTAATCTCCAATTAATCCCCAACAAGGTGGCCACAGACTGACTTACCTGAGAAACAAAGGCAGGCCCGTTGTCTGTCCCCAATACCTGTGGCATTCCGTAACGGGGGAAGAT